TCGGCGGCGTTTGGGAGCTGGGGGACTTCCAACAGAAGATACATCCGAGGATTCCCTTTGCGGCATCACGGTCGATATTCGATGTCGGGTTATGCGATAGTGATAGCGGACATGTATGTAATGTCTTTGTATATGAGCGAGGACCATCAAATGCCGAACACTATCCCCGAGGTTTCTTAGGGCCGAAGAGATCGAGTGGGTAAGGTAATTGCCGAAATTTTATGCCCGGCACTGAAGTTCGGACTTATTGATGTGCTTACCCTGGAGAATGGCTGATATTTTTCATATTTAGTGAGGTTCATGGGCTCGCATTCAACAAATTGCTGGTTTTTTTTATCATCCATGTAGGATATGTGCTTAAATTTTATCGGATATAACATCGTCGGCCTGCCTTCGATGGGTTTCCCTTGCATCATGTCCAAAGAACAATACTTTGTTGTTCCAGCTAATCACCAGGAGACCCGAACAACGTGAATAACACAACAAGCACTTTATTTACCCATCACTTGGCAAAAGTGTTCACCTGAACATATATGGTCCACATAAATATATCTTATACTTTTTTCTCTTCCCCCAAAAAGTAGTATGAATCAATATTGAAGAAGATCGAATGTTGAAACCCGTGAAATCTGCGAGGGCTCAGCAAGTATCTCTTCCCTAAAATTCGGCACATAAGTGATATTGCATTTCATTAGCACATTATTCTGAGGGCAATTTCGTCAGTCATGAGGAATTCAGTATTCTCAAACCCACAAGATAGATATAATGAGAGGAGCTTGTTTCAAGGCACAAAAAATGGCAGACAACGTGACGCCGAGACCTGTTCATGAGCGCTTGTGTTGTCGTGACATAGAAGGAGACCTGGTATCTTAAAAGATGAGACAATTCGAGAAGCAAATAGATGCTAGCCCAATATTTCCCCCAGTCCGTGGCTTGCGAGGCCCAAGAATCCACGCCAGTTATTATTATTACGCATTAGCCAAAATGGCCTTTCTTTCTGTTCAGCCCAATTCCCAGGACTCGCCCCAGATCTCGTTGAGATTTATACCCAACAACTCCAGACTCGGATCCAGGTTGAAGGGTTGAGTGGGGTCGCCTCCCATCATCCAAGGGGCCTGACTTGGGTCGATCGGAGCCGTAGGCATTGTCGGCGTAAACGAGAACGGTGTCACCGACTGGATACCAATATTAGGAAACGCCCTGCCATGGAAGTCAAGCTTCATTACCTTTGGCCGGTCATGCAGCGGTATATTAGGCGTGGGCCCCGGTCCCATATTGCCCTGCGGCACGCCGTTCATGGCAGCTGCAAGGTGCTCCCCAGAAACTGGGGGCTCCTGGTTAGCAAGGAGACGGTAGTGCAAGTTGACAAAGCGTTCTGCTGATGTCGACTTGGCGACCTCAGGCTCCTTGGTTCCCAGGTGGGCTTCAAGCAACCCCAGCGCCGCGCACATGATAGAATATCCCCATGGCTCATTGTTGCCACATCGTAGTAGACGATCCTCCTTCATCGCAATGCACTTCTCAATCAACTTGAGTGTGTGGTGCGAGTTTATCATGATCATGTTGGTGGAACCTCTAGGCTGCAACATTGTGACGCTACAGAGGTTGATGGCTGTGGTCAGCGCATCTTCTCTGAGAAAGTTCAGACTCCGAACGCCTTGTTCGTACAGTTTGTCGTGTAACAAGACAATGTCTCGGGCGGCATTGTAGTATATGATCTCGGAGTACTGGTACTTTGAGTTTTGCTTCCGAAGTTTGAGATATGGCTGATGCAAGGGGATAATGTACTGCCTTAACTGAACATGCAACAACGTGTATGCGATCAAAGGGTTCTTCTTTCCCTTCACATTTTCCAGATTCATATCCCATGACGGGAGAGCATCAATCTCCTGTGTCAAATCGTTGGTGTACCGAATTACTTGGTCATAGTCTATTTCAGACGATGGACCAGTAAGAAGACGACTAAGCTCCAGACGTAAAGGCAAACTCTGGCGAGCTAGATGCTGGAACGAAGAGAATGTATACTCTTTGACAGGTTTTGATGGTGGGAGCACGGTGGTACTCTCATCAAAATCATCATCGTCTAAATTGCGAGGGGCGTTGGTGTCGTAGTGAAGCTGGCTAACCAGAGTTGGCAGGCAATGATCGAAGGATGCCTGCATGTCGAATTCTTGAACTGTTGCCCAAATTCGTCGACGCATCTCCTGGTGAAAAACGGTGATCTTTGCTGCCATGTGGCTTGGCTCACGATGTAAGCCGACAGCGATTCCGTCTTGGATGAGCGCACCAGAGCCTGTCCAGAAGCGCTTCTTCTTGATAGTGTTGACTCGCTTCCCAAGATACAAAAGGCATGCTACTTGATAGTGGATTAAGCGTCGATGCTTCTGGCTTTGTTTTGTTGACCACTCATCACAAGCCTTGATCCATCGTTCTGCCCAGTGACGAGCATTCGACATCATGCCGATGAACTTGAGGCTTTCGTGAGTATGAACGCAGCTTGCAACGGCCATCATTGCGAGGATAAGGGCCGTGAAAGCGGCATAACGTTTGGCAGACCCGGGTGCCCAATACTCGTCGTATTCCTTCTTGAACGTAGGAATGTGAACAATGCGGTGCACCTGCTCGAACTGGTCGAGATAAACATCGATAAGTGCATCGGACTCCTCCTTAGTTGGCAGTAAAGCCTCTAGTTCTGGATCCGAGTCCTCAAATATCTTCTCACGGTCCTCGCGCCGTCGCTTTCGGTCTTTACGGTCATGGAGAATGACTGGGCGAAGCCACTCATCGGCCGTCTCCTTCATGAAAGGGCACAGACCTGTAAGTTCAACAAAGGCCATACTGGCATTGTGTGGACCAAAGTATCGCGTGCGAAAGCCCCTGCCACGAAAGAAACGAAGCTCTCCTTTCTCACCCGACATGTTAGTGGCTTCGATGGATTCGTGGACTTCGCGGACGGAGGGGTCTTCGACATTCGCATTCCCATTGGCATCATCTTTCGTCTGGGGGGAGGTCGTCGTGCCAGCCAGGGTGCTCCCATCGAAAGACACACCAGAGCGAGAGATTTGATTCTTAAGCTGAACTAGCTCAAGCTCCAATCGGCGAATTCGATCGTGATCTTGGCGTACGAATTCGGGATCTCGTGGGGACAACCCCGTTGCGGGATCAACAAAGCGGCGAGAGTCTAGCTGGGCGAACGGCGGCGGAACTCCCGAGGAAGCGTTCACGACCTCGCCGTTACGAGATTCATAACTGCAACGGTCGGGAGTGCCGCTCTTGATGCAACGCTCGCACGGGAAGCCTCGGTCACACGACAGCTTTCGGCGTCGGCACTCCAGACAACTGAGGCGGACACGCTGCCGTTTGCGGGCGGGCGGCTGGCCCGAGTCATCTCGGGACCCAGGCTTTCGGTCACCGTCCGAGTCCGGGGTCTCACTTCGGTCTGAGGAAGCCATAATCGATGACCGGAGCTTATCCAGTGTCGTGCGAATGCCGATGCGGATGCGGTTCGGAGTTACGAAGGAGGAAGAGGAGGAATCGCTCCACCAGCAAGTGAGAAAAAACACCTTTATCAATCTGATCAGATAATATTGGTAGAAGAGTTTTTGCTTGTGCCGAGCGGAGATACGAAAGAGCATGGGTCTTGCGGGTGTCGTTTGTGAGGTCAGGTGACCGTCTATCTAATGCTACCATGACTAGTCAGGAAACTGAAAGACATGTTGGACAGCTAATTGATGCAATTGCCATGTGAATTGATGCAAAAGATAATTACGCGCCTCAGTATTTGATCCTTTCAATTTGTACGCATTGGCTATCTCGTTCAAGCTCCTCGGAGTTCCGAGGGGTCACCTCTGCATCAAGATGAATCTACCTACTATCAGTCTATCAGATTCATTTATAACTTGAGATGACTCAGGTCGACCTATTCTGATCCATCTTTGACTTACCAAAGCTATTTCCTTATCGTAAGAATGAGCATATTGTCAAAGAATATCACGAGAAAATGGCGGGACAACAGCTGGATCATTTAAAGATCGGAATAGAGGTTCGATATCACGAACACTCACAGTTGAGATTGGTAGAAATCGAATGACTGAAACGTCTACGTGAGCACTCAAGACTAAAAATTATTAATAAGCGGAGTGCAGATGCAGGGACCTCTTCAACGAAAGGGCACTCACATTGGATCCAATGCTAACGAACAACTAATCACCTAACTAACGCGGGGTGAATTGGCCCTCCAACCTGAAACTGAAGACTGACTCGCATATGGCGGTCAACAGAAGGTCACTTTCATTCTGGAAAACACCTTGACATTTCGGATTGAAGGACATACTCTTGGCGTAACGGTTGGCAAAAGTTTAGGTTGACACACCCAAACCGAAGCTTTTTCAGAAAAGTCTTGACGAAACCATATTTGCAACACTGCAGTGTCTAGGATACTCACCTATTGTTCTAACCACAGAGGATCACACGGTCTGTACTGCACTATTCTGGAGCTGTCGTTTCACCTGAAGCACACAGCAATTGCGGTACAACGCTACCCCAGTTTTTGCTCCAATTTGCTTCGCCAAAGCTTCCAAACGGCGCTGCACGATGTTAAAAGAGGCTTTAAAACCGTTGGTTGATTTAAGAGTTATGCTATGTATCGAGGCTTGTTGAAGCCGCGTGTTTGCCATGTCGTGCATTAGTCCGTTAGCACACGGGGTAAAGAGGTGTCAATGCATTTACCACGAGTTTCACTTGCTTACGGGAGCGAGGAGGTGAGCTCAACAATCAGACCGGAATATCCGAATTAAATCTCGATAAAGTCACAGATCAAGGAACCGATGTAAATAGCATTGCAGGTAATCCTCCCAGCGGCCCGTGTAAGATCATTTCCGCTATTTTGAGACGATCCTCAATGCTCGACGTACCTTATCCATGTTGTATGCACAGGGGCTTCATATCAAAACCGGGATGTAAGAACGTACAGGGCTAGTAACTAGTCTTGTTACAGCTCGATGCGGTCTTCATGCCCACCCAACTCGGATGAAGCCCCTTGCCTACGTAGATCTGGGGGTTATATATATATGATAGTTGAGGTAACCCATGTCTTGCAATACTTGAGCGTCCTGTCATTCCCCTGTTTGGGTTCACTTCTTCAACATCAGCAGCCCTAATGCTACTGAACGGGTATGAAGCTCACATCTTGGGCGATCTGCTCGCTAGCACTCGCTGCTGGAGTGTTCGGCGCTGACAGACCTGAACTCTTCAAGAGTCTGCCCCGTTGTACCGTGAGTCTGAGGTTTGTATGCGGTTTTGTGCTTGTACTGACAATGTCTTGAAGAGCTCATGTCTTGAAAAGTATGACAACTCGGATTTCGAAGCCATTGATATGTGCAACAACGGAAATGTCAAGCAGGAGCTAGATAACTGCTTCGCAGACAAATGCCGCGATTTCGAAAGATTCGGTGCGCCAATCATTCTGAAGTACAAATGGGATAGAACTAACAAGCTCTAGATATCGCAAAGATCTATGCCAGTGCCTGTGACAGCAAGCAAAAAGACAACCGGAATAACCACTATGTTTTGTTAGTTGCAGAGATACCAGCATGGATCTCTCCTTGGCTTAGGCTGTATTCAAGCTGGATGACATATGAGAGTCATTCTCTGGATGACTACGTAATGGTAGTTTGTGGAGTAAGTTGGTATCTCGCACCATAGATCATCAAACCTAACCTGATTTTAGTTGTTGTTCACTGTCTTTGCAACTCTGATTCACTTTGGTAAGTCGGATCGCCGAATGAATATGGACTCATGCTTACCAAACTACTTAGCCCACTCTGTGACAGGAGATACAATCTTATGGAATGCGGTTCCGGAATACATTACAGACGGATTAAAGGTTTGTCTGCAAAGTGTAGGATTGAGTCGCAGAATGTTAACATTGAACTGCTTAGCTTGTTTTCATGGCCGACATCTTCGAGCTTGCTTGCTCGTGTCTACTTAGAGTCGCGATTCTTCTTGTATGCCTGCGCTCATCGTTTTCTGGCAGATACATAGTGGCCACAGCCGCGACCCTTGTACTCACCATCCTCTCTTCGATTGCTTTGGCCCTATTGAGAGTGTTTCGATGTTCACCCATTGCATTCGCCTGGGAAGGTTGGGAACCAAGTGGAAGAGATGAGGAAACAGGAGGTTGCTTGGCTCAGGACTTACTTGCATACGCGGCTTCCTCGATCGACATATTCCTAAACCTGGTGCTCCTTGTTATGCTCTCTCACCTGATCTTCAGCCGAGTTGCAAGGAACACAACATCTTGGCTACAAAGCGCCATCGCAATGGCGTTGGGAGCATTCGGTCTGGCTGTGTCCTGTTTTCGACTGCACCTTTTGATCAATTTCTTCAAGATGACGCAACCAGTTTGGAAATATCACGAACGAATCGTTTGGATGGACGTCGAAATTTCGATCTTGATTATATGGGCATGTCTGCCTATATGGCAGTCCTTTACAGATCCAGTGCCTCCGAAGGACGTGGAAGAGACCAACCGCCTGCCGCAGATAATAGAAGAGACCAGCATGCCGGAAACACCGTCAACCGATACGAAGATGCCGAGGCCGAGTTTATGTCAGAGGGGGTTGTTCAGGATCTTGTCAAGGGGACATCCAAAGAAACTAGTCGAGTCGAACTTACACCTGGGAGACAAAACTTACGGAAACGTCAGGACAGAGATCCAAGGAGGCCAGAGGTTTTCTATGATCTCCCAATTGACGGGCATGATTGGTATCCAGGTCCGAACGAGGACGATCAGGCATGTGCACGACAGCGGATGGGACGCGGAGAAGGGATCAGCAAGAGAGAATGTAGAGGCTACTTAACGATTAATGAACATAAAAACTCAATAATGAAATAGTAATTCTTCAGCAGACAAATTTCGACCAGATAGCGGTTTCGTTCTTATGAATAAATAGTAAAATCTTACAGCAGAGAAGATATAACTTACGCATTGACAGCCAATTATGACACATAGAAAGTTCGATTTTCTTGTTAGATACCTGGATTATTCGACGATCAAATTCTTCTCTATTGACTTTCTGTTTTTTCAACTGCTTCACATGTAACTAGGTATCCTTGTCTCTTTATGGCCTCGGGAGCCGACTTTTGGCAAATAGTTGGGCTCCACTTTCAACTTCACCCACCAATTCCGACTCCACGCTCTGATCTGCCTCCAACACTCAACGAAGCTGCATCTAAACGAAGATCACAGTGGCCCAATAAAGAATTCATAATATCTGAATTCGACAAAAATAAAACAAAATGGCCTCTGCCGATGATGCCCGCAAGAAACGCATCGTGTCGCACATGAACAAGGATCACACCCGAGAAATCTCCTATTATCTCCGTCATTATGCCCATCTCTCTGCCTCGGCTGCATCCTCACCCGCACTCAAGGATATTGATCTCAACGGCATGACTATCAAGTCAAAAGATGGCAAAGACCACTTTGTCCCTTTCTCGCCTCCAATCTCCAGCTGGGCCGAGGTCAAAGACCGCATCATCGAGATGGCCAACACAGCCCGTGAAGGACTGGGTCTAAGCGACGTCATTATCACAGCCTACACCCCCCCAGAGGGTTTCGGGATTTTTGTCACAGGATCAGTTCTCTTCTACTTCTTCTGCGCCGGGACACTGCCGTGGGTACAGCCTGGCACTCGCATCTGGGAGTTATTGAACGAAGGTTTCCCTGGAGGCGCGACCTTCTATCGCTGGCTTGTCAACGCCATCTTTTGGCCCGTCATCGGTATTCATCTTGTTGAATGCTTCTTCTTCGACAGGAAGCTTCAGAGGCACAGCGTTGAGAGATTCTCTGAACAGTGGTGGCTTTGGCTCAGCAACTGCTTCTTTGAGGGGTTCCCTGCCTTCAAGCGTGTGGATGCCATTGTGGCACGGAAGCAAGATAAGAGTGGCAAGTCTCAGTGATATGGATGCGGCGAATTTGAGGAGATTCAGCCCCTATCAAGTGTCGAAACGCGGGCGGTGGCATTGTATGGATGGATGTTGGTTGGAAATTCTGATGCTCCTTTGACTTGAGGTGGATATGGCAAGCACAAGAGTGGTTACTATCATGACATGATGCATGAGCCACAGATGAAGGGATTTCAAGTGGTACGGATGTAGGACGCATCGTTGCCATGATCATAATTACCTACACCTAGAAATAGAGAAGACGACTAGAGATGCTTAGGATAATCGATAGACCGCCTCAAGATTTTCAAAGACGTATAAGCACAACAATCATATGCTTGGGTTCCTTCCCCTCTTGTAGCTATATTTTCTATTACTTTCCGGCGCTTCCCCGCTCCGTACAATACTGCCATACATTGTAACTAATAGCTGCTCATAGTCCAGTCTTCTCCGTTCATCGTTCGTTGAATAGATCGAGTCTCCTGAGTCATGGGAAGCCAACAGTGATTTCAACTTTTCGCTCAATGTCTGCTTGCCACCGTGAGTCTTCGATCTATCGCCAGCGGGAATGCACCGCGAGGTAAGCCCAGGTACGCTACTGCCTCGACGTTGACGGGACCAACTTCCATTGTGCGATGTGCTCGAAAGAACGATGACTCTCGAGTGAGGAGACACATTAGCTTCAGTTGTGGGAGTTGGAGCAGTATATAGTACGTGATCGATTTCATCAAAATCTGCACATTGTCATATTGTAGACTTCGATCAGGTCGATGCATTGTTGGCCTCGATACGAGCATCAAACCTTTCTTCCTTCCACGAGGCAGAACGCAAAGTACCGCAAGTGCGGCGGTCCCATCTTGATGCTAGTAGTGATTCTCTTGATTCAAGCTTCCTGTAAAAATGACAAGTGAGCAAAATCACCAGATATTGAAGACGAGCACCACGACTTACAAATTCATGCACACCATCGTCTTCGAAATCATGCGTCGGATACGGAACACACAATCCAGCGAACACCGATTGTTGGAGAAATACAACCCCATTACCGGCAAGCGATCCAATTTCATGTTCAGGCCTCTATGTATTCGCATGAAAGCTTTTGGTTCGCTTTCCGGCATAAAGACCAATACTGTTTTTGTGATACCGAAGTGTTTCGGTAGATAGCGGGAGATGAGAGAGTCTACATCAAGATAGCGTACTCTGTCATTTCCAAGCCTGTTCAAAAGGGCTTCCATGAGAAAATTTATATCTATACCTGGATCTCCCTGTGGCGTTACCAGGCGAACATCTCGAAGTTGGGAGGGACGAGGTCTCCCCAAGGTGTTTAATTATATCGGCCAGCTTATATACTTCGAAAGGTGCCTCGACGCCTTCAGATTCCAGAAACTTCAGAGAAATGCGTAAAAGTGGTAGCTGTGTTGCAGCTTCTGCGACCCTGATAATATAACGTTCGTCGAAAAGTTCGTGTCGCAGATCTTGAAAGGTTCGGACATCTTGGACAGCCAAACCGTTGACAACGATTTCAAGGTGGCTTAAATTATCAGTTGATTACTTTCATATTCTATGGATGCAATATGAGCTTACCGAATAGCCTGCCAAGTGTGACTCTCCTTGCAAGTTCCGCACCATGGTAACTGGTAATCCTTTGCAAGGTGTCCTGTCTGATCACATTTGAAGCATTTATGGTCGACATCAGCGGCATCGTTTGCGTTTGCTCGCCTAAGGTTTAGCTTTACATTGCATGAGAGCCCAGCATGCCCTTATCCACCACACTTGAAATATGATTATTTGTTGTCATTCTTGGTATAAGTAAAGCGTAAGTCGGTGCATTGTGCGCATGAGGTTTGATAGGCATTCGTTTCGTATGCCCTGTCTGTTGACAGATCGAGTTGGCGCAATCGAGATTAGGATCATGTGCTAATTCTTTCTGCAGTCCGATGCCTTGTGATCGAGACTGGTGCACTTATGGCAGCACCATACCCGAATAGTAAGATCATTCTGCTTGTGATACTTGAAGATGCGATACAGTTCGAGTGCTCGCTTCTCCGTCTGATCTTGGATCTCCCACCCAACAAACATTCCCCGATCCAAAAGTAAAACGGTAAACCCACATGCTCGAGTAAGCGAAAGGGTTGACCTATAGCTCTCTGCTGTATAGCCAATATTGGAGACAATGACCCAATTGACAAAGACAATATCTGCTTCACCACCTTGTCCAGCATCAAGAGTAGATGTCTTGATCTGGCGTCACTCCTCTGGTGAGATGGCCTAGGCTGCTGGGGGAGAAGGTAATGTAGTATATAGCTTACTTCTATCGTAAGTACTGTGGTAAAAAGGCTTAGGTAAGTTTAGGATACTTTAGTATAGTTTAGGGAAAATTTAGGAAAATTTAGGGGAGCTTTAGACATAGAACTCCTGCAAGGCTTGTAGCCAGCCATAGTATAGAAACCTGAGATATATAACAAAGATGGTTCATAACATTGCGCGACTATGGCCACTCTTATAGTTTTCAAGGACTGGCTTATGTCATTCGTTCAACGTCCTTCACACTATGGCATTCCTTGATTTAATGAATGCTTGGGCAAATAAAAACTTGTATGTTAGTTGAACATATCCATGTTTATAGGTTTTTTTGCTGTTGAGTTTTGGCAACATGGATGATTGAAATACTGTTTGGGCGTTTGCCAAACACCAATTGCTTGAACAATGTCCAGTTTTGACACCGAATAAAGCAACTGTTTGCTTAGTAGGCCTGCCTATATATACCCAGGTACGGATGTTTGCATTAATTTGCGTTTTGCGTATAGCCTATCCATCTACCAAGGCAGCAATGACAAACTAATGATGCCTATGGAAACAATCACCTTAGAGGGACCATGACATCTCTCTTCTCGGAAAGGCTTACTCCTAGCAAACCTTTGTTTCTTATATGTGATAGATGCCAGGAAAACCGGTAATGTATGTACGGTAGCTTCTGAGATGATCATGGGTTGCTTTGAAATTAATTCGTACCACGCCAGCACAAACGATTAGGTTCACCAGAAACACTCCAGCATGACGAAAGCATCAAGATACCCAAATGAGCTCCACAAACTTCAAGAGCATTTCGAGTTACTGGAACAAGCCATTTCACTGAAACTATATGTTGGGGATAGCATTCAACGTGTTGTAAGTGACAAATACAGTGGTGCCAAATCTGTCCTTATTGTCAAAACTTGCAATTGTTCACCTGCACGTTCTTGCAACACAGAGACCTCGATCCTAAGTTTCAAGGACTTTTAGAAGAGTTTAGTATAACATTAGATAGCTTAGGATACTTTAGGATACTTTAGGATATTTTAGGATATTTTAGGAGAACTTAGGATAAGTTTTACCTAAACTTAGTAAACCTTTTGACTACTGGCTGGATGAGGACTCGTCATCAGAGCTATCCGCGTTTGCGCCCACGGCGGCTGGATCAGATTGGTTCTTTTTGGTGGCTGGGCCAGGTTCGCTCTCCTCCGTAATCGGCTCAAAAAGGGCATGGGCATCAATATGTTTATGAATGGTGAATTGTAGCTTGACATCATCTGTCATCTCTATTGCGGATCGGTCGCTCTTGATTTTGAACAAGGCAAGTACCAGCTCAGCAGGGTCGACTCTTTCAAGCTTGTCCCTTTCCATTGCACTCAGAGGATATTCAGGGCTCTTGTCTTGTTAACAGTCGATGGTGAGCGATCGTTTAGCAGCATCCAAATAGTATTGGATTTTGGGATCATCGGGGAACCAGGGAGACAAAGTGCCGTTACTCTTAACTGCATGGGCCAGGCGACGTCTGAAAATGACTCCATCCGTCACTTCTTGTGTGCCTTTGATCTTGAGCCCGGCACATTGTCTTAGAGGGACTAAAAGTACAACGTGTTCTCCGTTCTTGTGACATTGCTAAAGTCGATTGATAGCCGGGTCCTCAGTTTCTGGACCGTATTTCCGGAGATCTATCTTGCAAAATGCTTCGAAAGCATTTTGGTCGATGGTTATAGTCAATGGTGAATAAAGCCCTGGGTAGAAAGTCCTCGTCGGGATTCCAACCTCCTGCACCAGAATCATGGGAATCTTCGCAATAGAAATAATCATCTTCCTTCATGAGACTGGCACAATAATCGGCAGAATCATGTAATTCTAGACTGGTTCAGATTCTGGGCATGTTAGGTAGTAGTTAGTCATGATGCGAACGTTCATATGATATAGGATAGTGACCGCTATTGAAAGGTATGCTTACCTTAGGGAGCAGGAAAAGAGACGACTTTAGAAAATATTCCAAAATAAACTTAGTAAAGAGTTACCTAAGCTTAAGCTAAATTCCCTAAATCTTCTCATAACTTAGGATAAAGGTCCTAGGTCTCCCTGCCCTGGTCCGATTTCAGAGATCGGCAATAGCTATGCGTTGCTGGTTTCAAAAGCAAAGACATAAGGAAATCGAGAGGATGGGGGCTGATAAGTTGGAGAGTTATATAAAAGAAGACAGTTTTTGAGGAGGAGAGAAGTTTAGGAGGAGAGAGGCTGAGCAGAGGTTCAGAAGAGGAGATTAATGACTACCAAGACTGACCTCGTTGTCTTGTCACGTTTACATTCGCAAACAATATAATAACCGTGCATGCCGGCATAAACAGTTGAATTTATAGGATAGTCTGACTATTGTTCTCCTGCTTATGGTACTCCTGTTTATCAGCCTCTAGATGCCTAGGATTAGCCCACTTGGTACAGGAAATAGAGATTGTTCGGGGCTTTGGAATAGTATCTCCCCGAATACATTCACCTTCCACGTAATATTATCACTCGAAAGCTGAGACAAAGCGTTGACCTCTAGACTTTCCGAATGCCCGGGGGGTATGCTTTGAGCGACATGTCGATCGAGCTTCAGTGAAGCCTGAGCATTCAACTCACGGGGCGGAGATGCGCCGCAGAGTTTATCCAGCGGCAGTGGTATCTTCAATGTGAGCAGGTAAGTGGATATGCGTGAATAAGAAAGTGTTTAAAGAAATATGTCTGTTTGATAGGGAAACTATTGTTAATCACTGTCCATCACTGTCAATCACTGTTGAGCAACTTACATGGTATTTGGCTGCCTTAGGCATGTATCATTTCACCCATTACAATAATCTACCTCCTTCATTTCTTTTCTCTCCTTCTCTTCCTTTAATATTTTCTCTCTCTGTCTCTCGCCTTACTCTTTTGTGTATCCATCGACACAGTTACGATCACCAACCACCAAATCGTACACCGAACGTCGCGCACTTGGTAGCCGGCACTTGACGCACAGTCTAAAATATCGGGATTTTCTTCCCGCAGTTGTTGTTTCAGTTCCAGGCGCCCTTCGACTCCGGCAAAGTATCTACACGAGAAGCGGCCCCTTCTCCTCCCCATGCATCGGATAACTGTGGCAAGTTGCGAAGTTGCCTAAACTGCCATCATCAAGGTCATAGTGCAAACGAACGCCCACGCGAACTTCTATGTGCATATTGTGGCGACGAGCACTTCACATTCGATTGCCCCAAGGATTCTAGCTAGTGGTTATGCTGGAAGTGTGGTCGATAAGGACACGCTAGGCTCTTATGCAATGCAAAGCTAAACCTTAGGCGAGTAAACGCAAACGATGCCGCCGATATCAAACAGAAATGCTTTAAATGCGATCAGACAGGCAGGACAACTTGCGAAGGATTGCGAGGTACCATGGTGCAAGTCTTGCGAGGCCAATCACACTTTCCAGGATTGTCCCCCATTTATCTACAGAGGTTGTGGTGAACAGGATCACATGAAACGAGACTGTCTCGACATCAAATGCAACAACTGTAATGAGCGTGGACACCTCCAGGGACAATGTGAGAGACCGAAATGCCGGAGATGCGGCGAGCTCGACCACTTTGCACAAGACTGTACAAATAAGCAGACTTGCGGGACTTGCCAGGGCCCTCATGCCACGGTGCTCTGTCACGTCAACAAGCAGGAGCCCGACAAGCAGGAGCCCGACAAGAAGAAGCCCGACAAGAAGAAGCAGAACGTGTCGTCAGCCGGGGATTTTATACCGGTGGCTAAAAATTACAACCGCATCGTCACTGAGCAACTGCCAGCCGAGAAACAGAACGTAGTGGATCTTAGGTCTAGCACTTGCAAGGTACTCCTTCAGCTTCAAACTCTTCGACACCTCGCTGGCCTGCTCAACGCCCTCGTCCTTGAGGCTCATAACACCGAATATCAGATGCATCGTGCCGGGTGGACGCACTGCAGTCGGTGGAACACCAAAGCCAGAAGGATTCGTGACTTCTGAGTCCAACGTCACCAGGCTCCTTCGATCAACGCATTCCGGAACCAGGCTTTCAACGCACAACAAAGCCATCATGACCAGTTCAATGATGGTGACAATGGTGGGAGCAGTTGGAACAGTGGTGAGGATGGTGGCAATGCTGGTGGTGATTAGTGGGGAACCGACCAACCTGTTTTTGATGGGTGGTAATGGTGAAAATGTGACGATGATGGAATCGGGTGGGTGAGGAAGGTAATGATTTCGATGTTGACACAAGGCATTATTGAGCGCTCATTCGATGGGCACAAACTAAAAGGGGCGACTGGCTATGGGAGGAAAGAAAACTCAGGACTTCGATCCTAAAGGATGAAAAGACTTAGGTAACTTATCCTAAGTTTAGGATAAGTTTAGGATACCTTTTGCTAAGTTTATTTCAACACCTTGTACCAAGGTCTGATATTTTCTTGTTCTCCAAGGACTGGTTGACCAAGAAGTAGTATCAGAGGTTACTTTTATCCCTCAACAGAAATTGTATGTTCAATACAGTATTATTTCGATAATTCGACACATATCATTCACGAGAGTTGTCCAAGGAAGTTTAGTGGCTGTTACAGAGCCACTATTAAACAGTGATCTGACTAGTCATCTTCAAATTGCAAGCCCATGGTAGGTATGATACTGTGAAGCTGAAGGGCCGTTGCTCTCAAGATGTAGTGGAGTTACTACTCCAGTCTCGGTGGGTATTGCCCCGACATCAACTTCGGGATAATTGGAGCCGACCAACATTCACAACATCCGGAACCCAATGAAATAATGGGATATTAATTTCAGCCTGAGTTTAGGTGTAATGTTCCTCAAGTCATGATTGTATCTTCATAAGCTTACATAACTCTTTGACCAATATACCCAAAGATTACAGAAAAACGCTGGTAACTATCCCCAGTCCCTGGACAAAACAGGAGGATGAATCGCAGCATTCATCCAAAACTTCTACTCTTTTTCTGGATAATTTCATTTCCTTTAATATAATTCTAGGACCAAGGGAAGGAATACTCAGTGGAATATGTTTGGGTGTATGCACAACTCAAGACACCAACTCCACACACCATAGGATGAGAACGATTTGTCAATTTTTGGCATTTCTTCGTCAAAGCCGTAAAACTAAATATGGAATCATGTACAAATTGATCACGCAGTTACAACGCCGCCCATATATCCTCCGTAAATGCCCAGTTCGCTTTGCTTAGTACAGCTTAATGGCAACCGACTTGTTCTGTGTGTAGTTGGCCAACGCAGCCTCGCCCAGTTCCCGGCCAATTCCAGACTCCTTGTAGCCGCCAAAAGGCAGTTGATGGTGCAGCATATTGTAGCAGTTCACCCAGACAGTACCGGCCTTCAATGCGTTGGAAACTCGGAGAGCTGTGTTGAGGTTCTTGGTGTGGACGGCGGCAGCGAGACCGTAGGCGGTGTCGTGGGCAAGATCGATGACCTCCTTCTCGTCCTTGAACTTGGAAATGGCGCAGACAGGACCAAAGATCTCCTCCTGCATGATCTTCATGTCGGGACGAACGTTGGAGAAGATAGTGGGCTTGATGAAGTAACCCTTAGTGCCGAGGCGCTCACCACCAGTCTCAACGGTAGCACCCTCGTCCTTACCAGCCTTGATGTAACCCATAATGCGGTCGTACTGAAGCTGAGAGACCTGGGGGCCCTGGAAGGTCTCCTCGTTGAAAGGGTCACCGACCTTGTTCTCCTCAGCTCGCTTCTTGAAGGCAGCGAGGAACTTGTCGTAGATGCCTTCCTGGACAAAGATACGGGTACCAGCACAGCAGCACTGGCCGTGGTTGTAGTAGATACCGAAGTTGACCCAGTTAATGGCCTCCTCAATATCAGCATCGTCAAAGACGATGTTGGGGGACTTGCCACCAAGCTCAAGGGTGACCTTCTTGAGGTTAGAGGAAGCAGCAGACTTCATGATCTGTCGGCCAATGACGGTGGAACCAGTGAACGCGATCTTGTCAACGTCCATGTGGGCAGAGAGGGCAGCACCGGCAGTCTTGCCGAAGCCAGAAACAAGGTTGAAAACACCGGCAGGGAAACCAGCCTGCTCGATGAACTGAGTGAAGACCAGGGCAGAGAGAGGAGTCTGCTCAGCGGTCTTCATGACAATAGTGTTACCAGTGGCCAGGGCAGGGCCAATCTTCCATGCCAGCATGAGGAGAGGGAAGTTCCAGGGGATAATCTGACCGCAGACACCAATCTGAAATATGTGTTAGTACCAGAAAACAAAGCAATTCGAATCAGGGATATCTTACAGGCTCAGATCGGGTGTAGTGGAACATGTCAGGGGCAATATCAATGGTCTTTCCCTCGATCTTGTCGGCCCAGCCACCATAGTATCGCAGGCAGCCAACAACGGCGCCGACATCACCACGGGCGTTGGTGATGGACTTTCCGTTGTCGAGAGACTCAACAGCGGCAAGGAGATCGAGGTTCTTCTCAGCAAGGTCGGCAAGCTTGAGAAGGTAGTTGCCTCGAGCTTGAGGTGCGGTGTTCTTCCATTCACCGTCGAAAGCCTTGCGGGCAGCAGTAACAGCCAGGTCGATATCCTTCTCAGTACCTTCACAGACGGAGGTGATGACCTCCTCGGTGGAGGGGTTGATGACCTCGAACTTCTGCTTGTCGACACCCTCGGTCCACTTGCCGTCGATGAAGCTGAATCGTATTAGTTTTGGAGTCAACAGAATTCGATACCATAGTCACTTACAGGCCGATGGGCTGCTGGTAGGTACCAGTAACAGGGGTGGACAGCTCAACAGTGAGGGGAGCCATTGTGTATGATATATGAGATGTTGTAGAGGAGAGGGAGGGTATTGGGTATCAAATGAGGATGTCGATAGAAGAGAAGTGTGAAGAGGAGATGATGAGATGATCTGGAAAAGGGACTGGAAATGTTGACGACGGGAAGGGAGTATTTATTCTTGAGAATGACGCGGGGTTTTTTTCTGTGGAAGAATGGAAGTAGGGGACTAAGGGGGGGGGCGCCCATCGGGGTGCGATGTGCCGTATGTGAACCTCGGTGGAGTGGAGGAGGGGTGAAGCTCAAGTGACGCCAACTTTCCCCGCAACAGCCTCGCCTCTCACACCTGGATGAGCATGGATGTCCTGGTACGTACTGGTTTCTTGCTACCTGAAAGAGGAAATGCTATGGATTGCACTGGGAACCGCTCACACTGAGACCCCCAGCGGACGGACGGCACCCCATAGCTTTGCGGAGCATTGTCGTGGCGGTGGTGGACAGGAGGTGGTTAGCATGGTTAGTAGTCGAAACGTCACGTAAGTTGTCCTGTTAGCATCGACTGCAGCATTAGCCCAATCACATTACAGCAAAACCCGAAAAGACAGGACTTGCTCCGAAGTGGTTTCGGAACGGCTCAAGGGCAGAGCAGAGCTCTCCTCTAAGCCGGTACCAAGCAATCCGAGATCACATCCATCACATTCATGTCAGGCAACGATTTGACTGGACCGCGGGGCAGAGCAGGGATGTTTAAGCAGTACTACCTACATTACCCAGAAAGGAGCAGTTATAATATCAGCAAACGTTACAGACAGTCATGTATGTACTACATACAGTGCTTCAGTCAACGTGCCCAGCGCCTTTGATCACTGGACCGATGAACCGTCCCTTGGTAGACTACCAACTGCTTCATCGGATCTTGCTACTGGTTCTGTCATGGCCTGTAACCCTTTGGCTTCCACAGCTCTCTGGACTCCCCGCCAAAGTGGATGGATCTGACGGTTTCTGCAAATCACAACAGCCGGCAGAGACAAGGTCCAGACATGCCGCCACCACATGCTCCAAGCTCTCTCCCCACATCCGAGCCACCAGTGGCCAATGGTGGGGTTGCAGGGGCCTATATGGGCCTTGTAGGAGGGGATCTGCGCCAAAGAGGACAAGCTTAACAACACGAAATTCAAAGTGAATAGAATTGTCAAAGCTCGGTATACCAGATAAGGATGTCTAAAAGCATGCCATGGTTTTATTCACGAGGCAGAGTGATAGCTCATGCTGTCACTTCATGACATGAATAGCCTCAAAATCACTGTATAAAACTTCACGGACCTGACCTGGGCGTCTCTCAAACCCGTTGAGAGCGGTGACAAATCAATCTGGGTTATCAATGATGCATGCACAAACCCCCCCGGAGCCGACACCAGGTACAAGTATGTACACGCACTTACAGTCAAAAGGTGGTAATGTGCCGCAATACGACAGGGTCTCTCACTGGGGACCTCAGACTTGATCCGCACATCAATCTCAACGAGCTTGGACGGTTTCATCGTTGGGCGACAACTAGCCATTCGGTGTGATTTGCTAATATTGCCGTACTCAGTTAAAAAGATTATTGCTAAAACAACCCATAATTCATCTTACTGGACAACCTTCATAGTAATCAAGATAAGCTTTCTTGCAAACTCAACGGGAATATACATCGAACCGCACTTCGGATCCTTGTCAACCCCAGCCTCAGGTTGCGTCTCTTCAGCAATACGCCTGTTTCGGACTTAAGGTAGTCCTGCTATGTATTAGCGCTTGCCGATGGACGTACGTTTTCCGCATGTTATTCCAGTCCATGATCCATCCAAGGCCGCGGAGTTGTACAGGGTATCAATTATCCCTCAGCTCGGTTTTGTCAGCTTGGTTGCAAGCGCTGTTTACATGATAAACCCTATTCGTTGTTCCTGGGAAGATCTTTCGACTGTTCTTCGATATGGGCGCCACTTACAGCGAGTATCAATACACTTGCCTTCTATGCATTCTTCTATAGTTGTTCCTCATTCAAGAGGGTTCACAAGCAATTCGTTCCCTCCACAGCCTAATCGAGTTGCGACATCGTGTAGGTTATTGGAAGCTGTTTGTTTAAACATATATTGGCATACATGTTTTAATCTCCTAGTCATTTCATAAATGATACTGGCTACCCTAATGTCGATTATTACCTACTTCAGGGGCCACACCCCACATTACCTTCGGGATCTGGATATCCACGGGGTCTACGGAGTATTGATGTCGAATCTTCGTTTCCTCGATGGCTGTGTTGCCAGCACTGACACTAGCACTACCTGGTCTCTTGCTGGAGGGCCGTGCTCAGATCTTCACATCTACATTGCCATTCAATGTGGTTCGCCTCCCGAAACAAAACCCCTCTGTGACCTCACCTACCCTTCGGTGTATCTTGTGCGAGCCTCCTCAAACTCCACAGAAAACACAGAAAATATAAATCTTTTCTCAAACTATGGACTCTCGCTGCTCGTTGCTGAGAGACCGAAGGAGGGTCCTGCGAAACGCTCGGCGTAAAGGTGAGCGAGCATTAAACGGACCCCGCACTAACAAAGACCTGACCCTCGTTTCTTCTGTGTTTTGACAAGGCCATGAGTGGCTCTCCAATTCCTGGGGCAGCCTTTCATCCTAGCCCCGAGTACACATTCCCAATTCTGTCTAGCTTTTATTCCATGTTACCACCCCCCGTGACGTTCCCTAAGGCCGACGAGACGTTGGTACGCCTCGTGCAGTTCATTTTGGCTCGCGGACCCGCAGGTTTGCTGGTGGTCATGAGCAATTGCGGCTCCGCTGCGTCTCCGTCTCGCCGGCAAAGGCGGGGACGGCCCCACACACCCACCCCGCCTCCGATTCAACCTCTCCCCAGGCTCAAATTCTAAGCGCTCTGAACTTTTTCCCTTTACGGCCAACTTTGAACATGGCCACATGGGAAACATGCGCCTCGTTCTTCATGGTTTGCGGCTCATGGCGACTTTCCCAGGCACCCACTATACACCAGCTTATTGGAGCAGTAGCCTTGCGCTTCGAGTGTTTATCTCACTTCCTGAGAGACTAGCCACCTCTAAGGTGACCCGATCCATCATATCAACAACATTCCTCCAATACGATGGCTTTTCTCGAGAGCCGCAAACTTACATAACCTTTCAGCCCTGCTCATCGCCTCCGCAAAATTGGTCCAACGGTAGTCCGGATGCACGCGACATGATAGATCATATGCTCCCCACAAACGAGAGCCGCAATTGCTGAGATTGGGGATGACAGGACGGACGACATTGGAGACCCAAACGTAAGGATGCATACCTTGATGAAACCCATCCGCTATCTTCAAAACTGCGGCATTGACGGATCCGCGACTTCATGCTTGCTTTTTACCCCGCCAGATCACTTGTCTTCTCCGTACATACCGTAGGTACGACTACCCCACAAACGGGGCCGCAGGCCGCAGTCTTCTCCTCATCCCCGACTTAAGGGACTTGTTGGGTCGGCGGCGGCTCCGTTATTTTCCTGGGGTGGGATTAGATGTGTCAGGCTAGATGTTTGCAGGTAGATCTGACCCAAGACTTGTGCTTACCATGGAATCATAATGGCAGGTGAATGTGGAGGAATGATAGGCTACCATGCCGTGGGCTTGGTTTGACAGGCATCTCCTATCGCCCGGCCCAATGGTAGCGGGACTTAGACTAGACTAGCACTTCTCTCAACATCTCATACCTTGAACACATGGGCTGATGTTGCTGGGGCGGTTGATGAGTCGACCGGTTGCCGGTAGTGTTCGGGAGTTGCAAGACCCCGCATGCCCCAGATTCTCCAGATATGAATCCAGGCACTAAGTTCTGTTGCTGTCCCTAGAATTCCTTGCCTACTACGGACTCTTCCTCCCCCCCAGATGCGCTTGGTTTCAAGGGTGTTAATGGTTATATTCCTTTGTTGGCAATCCGTGCATCACTTCATTTCCTGCATCGTAGCCGTCAGTGTTCAAAACAGAGACATCCTCGCTACTCTCCTTCCTCCGGACTTCCAAAATGCTTGTTCAAAAACAAGATGTTTCTGATGCGCCGGCTCTCATACCTTGCTTTACAAACCTAGGTAGGTAATGTAGCTCACAAGGACTCCATAAGAACAACAGTTGTGCTCGAAGCAACTGGTACCACCTATGCTAGACATATTAGTTATCCAAAGACGAATACTAGAAAACCACAACCTGAATGGTAATCTTTCAGCCAAACAAATCGAGTAAAATAAGTGAGAGAACAAAATCCTCTACCTCCCGCTCGATCTGGCTTATAACCTGTCCTTTATTTGTTCTTGGACGTCCTCGCTACCAATTTCAATGGAGGGTACCTGCTCAGATCGGTGACCAAGTGGTGCGGTCGGTTAATTCTTCCTTTCAAAGTATATCGTCGGTCGTGGAAATACTTTTTGAACTCTTTTTGCTATGGGAGTGAGGCACCAACTTGATTGCTTGTGGCCACGGGCAGCTGCAGTACGCTGTTAGGTGGCCCTGGTGCATAGGTACGTAGCGGAGTGCCTAAACGCTGCCGCTCGTTTTTGCAACAGCTGGCGAAAGGCTCTCCTTTCAACCCTCAGCCTGATCGTCTGATATTCACGTTGTATCCTTCTGAGAACCGCACGTCAGGATTTTCACGGCGCGGCATTTTATTTCACCCCAATATGGCAGTATTGGACGAGGTCCCTCATGTCACCGCACGTGTTCGAGTCGCCGGGGAGCTCGCCACAGAATATGATCCCCTTGATGACGAAGAAGCCGTGGTCAAACTTGACAAAGAAGGCATCAAGATCCCAAGAAAAGTGTGTTACGTCGAATCCAAGTCAGGCGCCGAGTTTGCCATCGAAATTGCGGTTTCTGATAAGTATCAACCCCCAATTCCCACGATTCCCTCATTGCCGAAGTCTACGTCGACGGCGAGTTAAGGAGGAACAAGCTTCTTGAGGTACCCCTCTCTAGTAGTAGGGAAGAGGCCATCATCATCTCATCCGGAAGAGTTTCACCAGAAACATGGGCGAAAAAACCAATACTGGGCAAGTTTGTCTTTGCTCCTATTAATACAATCTGTAAGTCTACCTATTAGTAACTTGATCTTTACTAAAGATACAGCCGGTCCCACAAGCGCCGATAGGCTCAACGAGGACCTCAAACGTGCGGAGACCTTGGGAACAATCCGGCTGCGTCTTTTCACATGTCGATTTAAAGGAACGCGGCCCCGGAAGCATCATCCTTGCTATTCTACCAGCCGAGAGGATTCTACCAGCCGAGAGGTAGAAGTAGCGGAAAAGGCGCTGAAAGGCAAGGCAATAAGCCATACAACCACGTATATTATGAAACCCCCGTTTACTGGAAGAAAGCTCTAATATAGATGTATAGACTGGCTGAAACAACCGAGAAAACCAGTTCGCGCAAAGTAGTCACTACTGACAAACGTCTGATGGGAGAAATCTTCTTTCGTTATCGGTCCTACCGTATGCTCTTTCACCTATACAAGTATTGCTTATTGCACCGGGATTCTCTAACTTTCGATACAGAAGCACTCCAGCATGAGATGATTATCCCACGCACACCGTCACCCGAGCCCTCAGCTACAACTGGCATCGATGCAAGTGCCCTTTCTCTCCTCACCGAGAGTGACATTCGCCGTCTCGCTCTGGAAAGACTGCGTGATACTCAGGTAAGGCATATATTCAACACAGGAAATTGCAAAAGAATCGAGTCTTGGCTGGTTTGGCCATTTGCTGTAGTGTTTGGACTTCTTTTACTGACCTAGTTCAGATCAAGAATGAGTCCTCTCGTGTCAAGCGGGAGGCAGAAGAAGCCTCCCAATCGCCCCGGCGATGGAAGTTTGTGAGACTGGATGATGGGAAAGAGACTGTCGACTTGACAGATGACTGATCCCAAGTATGAAAATGTCCCTCTGGAATTAATGGTCATGCTAGTCGTTACCTCTATTGTTCTGTTAGTAAGATACCCCCGGATGGTCGGCGCAAGAAGCCTAAGCAGTGGACAATGTGGTCATGTTAGACAGGCATCGTAAGCATATTCACAACCTTCTGCATAATCCGCTCTATTATTCTGTCCTATGCAAAGCCGAACGCATGTTTTAAATCATTGATTGTTGTGCTGGGCCGTCGTTTCTGGTTGGACAGTGGAGCTCTGATGGTCAAGACTCGGATAGTCTAAGCTTGTACCTGAAGCGTTAGCCGTGATTGGCTGCTGAAGCTTGCGCTAAGACGCTAACGTGAACCTCCTCCATCTCCTTTCGCGGAATACCCATGACGTTGCAGTTTAACTCCTCCCTCGATGACCAGCTCTTCACTTTTCATCAACATCGTATTGTCGCCGTCCTTGGATCCTCCACCGCCTCGAACTCGAACATGCCAACGTATAGAAATGCTGCATTTGCCGTCTCATAGCCGCCCCCACGTACGCGCTCGTCGCTGAGCGGCCTCCTTACCCGCAATGGCTCCTGAAGCTCCCAGCAATATCCGTGTCTTCATACGTTGGCACGACCAGACTGTCTTCGCCGGCGAGGAAGTCAAATGTACGATTACATTTAAAAACGCGGCACCGATACCAGGCCAGCCGAAACCACAGCCGCAACAATCAGAACGAAGCCGACTGGCCTCGCCTTTGCATGGTCGCCCTAAGTTAAACCAAGGATTAACACCACCGCCGTCAGCATCTTCCGGCAGAGGGCATCGTCGTTCTGCCCTTTCTTTAAGCGTTCCTGCATCACAATCACATAGCCGTACCGGCTCAGTCCAATGGCCTTCATCAGCAGGCTCGAGTGATGGTCGCTCAAGCCACTCTCATAAGCGCTCTGTTTCCATTGTCTCAATAGGATCCAATAATGCCGTGGAAGACCACACACAACGAAATGATTTACCGTCGCGCCCTCAAAGACCGCATCGAGGACATGGGCGGGCCTCAAGTCTACAGATTATTCCTCGAGCGCAAGGCCAGCTCCCAACCGGGCCTCATTCCGGTTCGTCACTTACGCAGTACTATTTGAACTAGGAGCTAATTCTTCTCAGCATCATTTTCTCCTCGTCTCTCGAGCTCTCCTTTGTTCCACGCATCATACCCCCCACCTGATCGATTCGGTCGCATATCGCGACCGCCCACAACTCCTCACACACCTATTACAGCCGGCCAACGAAGATCATCGCCGCAACATATGCCGGAAAACCCAATGCCGGAATTTCGCTTTCCTGCCGCTCCCTCGCCTGCTCGAGAAGTACGACCAAGTTTATCAAGACGATCAACAAACGAAAACATGCTCAGCCCTAGGAACGCTGTAGGTGATTCCAGCGGACTGTCAATGCGCCTCAAGGACGGCGTTCCGACGATCAATGAGCAGCCTGCACCCGCGGCCCGCATTCTAGCAAGCAGCGGCGTCCTCGGAGGCACACCGCGGAGTAGCGGAGAGTTTTATTCTGTCAGCAATAACTCGTCAGAAACTCTGGTATCGGAATACGTGACGCAGCAGCCAACTAATCGTGGACACGCACGCCCACTTAGGAGAAGCCTTGGTATGCCGGCCCCACAGTCGAGAGCGCCTGAATCTTTGATGATGGGGTATGCTCAATTACACGGCTCTTTCTCGTTAGACGGATCCCTTGTCAGCCTCAGCCAATTTGACCAAGTCAAAAAGAAAGCTATAGTTGGCCAAGGCGGTGGTGTCGTTGGTCTCGAGTCCAAGCGCGACAGCGGTCTTTTGGGGGGATTCGGATGGGGTCGTATCAGCAGCTCTCTGGGCGATTTCTTAGGTGGAGGGGAGCTCAGCACAATCAAGGAGATGCGAGGGGTTGCGAACTCGAAATCTGTGCCTCTCTTGACTACACCACAGTCCATTCTATTTGTTGATCTGCAGCTTGCACCAGGAGAGAGTCGAGTTTTCGAGTACTCCTTTCGACTACCAAAAGGTCTTCCTCCGTCCCATCGCGGAAAGGCAGTCAAAATCACATATAGCTTGGTTATTGGCACGCAGAGGGCTGGAGGAACAAAGGAGCAGCAAGTGAAGTCCGTCGAAGTTCCTTTTCGCGTATTGGGAAGTGTTAACAGCCACGGTGAGATATTGGGACATGATCTGATGAATCCTTACATCCTATTACGGGACCAGGCCCAAGTAAAAAGTCCCTCGAGCAGTGATAAGTCATCAAAAACCAATGGCAACGGAGCCAAAGGACAACAACCTGCCCTGAATAACTTTTTACTTTACGTGGAAGACCTGGTCCATCGACCACGAGATGAGAGTGGCAGTATTCTTCTTTCTCCGGCCGCTGGCAACTCTAGGCGACCATCTGCATTCGAGGAAGCCAGCAACGCACATGATGCTATTCATATGGCAATCATGAGAAGCAACATGACCTCTGGCGGGCAGCAGAGCCCGAACCGGTTCGAAATTGCACGCAATGGGCAAAGGGTTGGTGTAGTGATGCTCACGAGACCTGCCTACCGACTGGGGGAAGTTGTGACAATGGCTATCGACTTTACAGACGCTGACATTCCGTGCTACGCCGTGCACACTACATTGGAAACATCAGAGAAAGTAGACCCGTCATTGGCAATAAGATCAGAGTCGAGCATCCACCGAGTGACCCGGAAAGTTTATTCGTCTTCATCTGAAGCAACGATGTACTCACGACGAGTCACCTTCAAACCAACGATTCCCATTACTGCAACTCCTGAGTTTGTCACCAGTGGTGTCAGCTTGGAATGGAAGATTCGTATCGAGTTTGTGGTGCCATCCACGGGAAGCGATTCTCCCATCGAGCACGAAAGACGAGCACCACACCCATTACTGGAGCAAATTTCACAAGATGAAAAGGGGGGGACGGTCCTGGTGGCAGTGGAAAATCTAATATGTGAGAGTTTTGAGATCGCCGTACCTCTACGTGTTTACGGCGCAGTTGGAACAGGACTAGAGCGGCTTGAGCGGGACGAGGCTTCTGAAGAAGGCCTTGCTGTATGATGAGAGTTGGACTAACCATATACCTGGTGCTGGGTGTTGGATATTTACTAGTATGAGATCTGAAACAGCTCGGTTTATAAGGCAAAGAGCTTGTTGCAAATAGAGTATTGGAGTTTGTATGACAGATCAAAAAGAGCGGGAGCAATGGTAACTGAAGAAATTAACTTGTTCTAGTAAGCCTGTGCCATTGGCGTCAGGGATTTTGCGAAATGGATGTCCCCAAGGTGGTTTGTGTGTGCCTTGAAGCTATGTTACCAAATAATAGACCAACGGTCAACTGTGATGACGACGCGTTTGAGTCTCCAGGTGGTTGTTAAACGGAACTGTGCTCAGCCTGATTCCCTCGTTTAAGAGCTAGGGCTCATAGGTTGACTAACTTCCCGTGACTGATGCTCGGACTCTAGACCGAGATAAGAATGAGTGAGACAGATCAGAATTAACTGGCACAGACATCACAAGCTCAGAATAGCTGAAGTCAAGACTAAAGATACAGGGCAGAACGGGATGGGGCTGGGTATATCCTCATTTCGCAAGGACCGGGATTAGACAAGCGGGTGTCGACTATAGACGAATAAGTAAGGCTGCTTCCCGGGGATGAAACTTTCTTAGTGGGATTTGCTTCTTTGGTTTATTACCTCAAATAAAGAGGTGGCTCTCTGGTGTGAGTGTGTTGTTGTTGTTATTGATAATGGGTCAGCTGGTTGGTAATAGTGGCTGCTGGCTCGACAACGAGATGGGGTATTGTGAGAAGAGATAGAGCGAGAGAGAGAGATCATCATGCGGCTCAAACTGATTTTTCTTGTCAGTCTGAAGGAAATGGCCTTTGCATACTCTGTAGTAGCTGAGGAATCACGACTATCGCGTTAACATAAGAGCTGGGAACGTGTCCAGGGGTTCGGCATGATTGTCACCAACAAAGGCTCTGGGTTCAATATTTACCACCGTCCTGGCCTGAAGTGATTGTGAGGTGACAGCCACTAACTGCTTAGGCGCCCACCGAGGACATGGAGTTTGGACTTGGTCTTTGATACTAGGTACCTAGGTATGATTAGACTACCTATGATATTGACGGGAAGGGAATGGGCTGGGGTTGGGTTGAATGAGAGTCATCAGCATTCCATCCCACAAGCTGGTGCGAACCTTCTTTTCTCTTCCCTTTCCTCCTCACCAACCGCTTTCGTTGGGAGCCCAGATCCAATGCTGCTGCTATTATTTTCAATCTTCTTTGTCGCTCACTAACATACTTTGCCAGTCATTGTAAGTTGCTAGATAACTCGCTCCAAAGAGGTCGCTCTCCCGACGCCTCCGCTACAGCAACTGACGCCTCATCCGCAGCCTTACATATTTCTATCTCTTGCATTCTGAATCTCGCTGCCATTAGCCCCCGCAGGCCCGCAGCAGCTTCCCGACTTACACCGCCCGCCATCCACTTTTGCAAACACCATCTTGCTTCAGCTGCTCTTTTATTTGTGGGCAATGGGAATTGGCTGTTCATTCTTTAGTTCTACTGTTGTTCTCTTATCGTAAACGGAAAGATTTCGGTGTTCTCGTCGCTCTTTCAAGCCGATACTTCACCATTACACCATCTCAATCCACACTAGACAATCTCCTCGACGACAAACCCACCAAAATATCATCATCAAGTGTCAATGGAGGAAACATGGCTGCGACACCTTCCAACGGTCGTTTAAAACTCACACCTTCCAACTCACCCTTTCTAGCTCGCCCTTCTAGGTCCTCTAGGTCGCCTATGCGTGGTCGCGCACACGATGCCTCGAAGCTCTCCCTCCAGCGTGTCATTGGCACAACATGTTCCTCTCCAACAGGGTTCGATACTCTCCCGTCTGTCTTTGCATACATAGCTGGAGGTGCTGTTGTGGTGGTGGATGTTAATGGCGATAATCACACTCAACGTTTC